TGGGTCCTTAGAGTTAGAATGAAACAAAATCTGTCTGGCTGGAAACAGAAATTTGAAAGGGCACACTAGAAACATTTGGAAGAAGGGGAAACAGGGAGTGAAGACATAGGCATTTGAGTCTTAGAGAAGAAGCATAGAGCATGTAGAAATTACAAGGAAGGGAAGGGCTACAGCAGCTGCCCAGAGTGGGCATTGTGGGATGACTGAGGATAGTGGTGCATGATGAGATGATCTGACTCCATTTCTCAAAAGAATTAATGTATTTCCAATTTCTGCTTAGCAAATAAAGAGCCTAGAAGTTGTCATTCCTGTATTACAAGAAGAAAAAGCTGGGCAAACTGAAAATCAGTGACTTTTCTTGGACCTATCAAAGAGCTGGCATTGTTGGGCAAACCGTCACTCTGGAATCTGGAGAGACAGGTGCATCTAGAGAGATCCAGAAACGCAGTCTGCCCATTGGAGCAAAAGCCACCAGAGTCATAAACCAGAAGGAGCAGTCCACTGGTAATGTTGATAAATTGCTGGAGGCAGAAGGCGGACTAGCTTGAGAGTGAGAAACTCCTAGAGGCTGAAGTCTTCAGGGAATCCCTCTATTTCACGAACTTTCTCTCCAGGAAACATATCAGGTTCTCATAGTCATACATAAACAATAAAAAAATAAAAAATAAAATTTAAAGATCCTCTTGTGACTCTGGCAGGGAGTGAGGAAGATTAACCACTTACTTCTTCTCCATAACAAAGGCCTACTGTCCAAGGGACTTTGCAAGATTTCAATTCTGAAAACCGAGCTCAACTGGATAAAAAGGATTCCTTCCAACTCCAGCCCTCTTCAGCCTTCCTGTCTCAGCTAAGGTGAAACACCACACACACACACACACACACACACACACACACACACACACACACACACACAGTGACAGAGAGAGGGGGAAATAGATTGGGAACTCCACAGTGAGGAAAGGGAATGAGGGCAGGAGAAACAAAGGCCATGGCAACACAGAAACACTCAGGAAGGTCACAGGCCAGAGACACCAGCCTCCAAAAAGGCTGAGATTTAATCAGAAGATTCTAGATATCTCTCCCCCACACCTTACCACCACACTAATAGGGCTCCAATAAAATGAAAGCAGATTTTGATTGAAGCAGCTGCAGGACACAGACTCTCTGAGGAGGAATACTGAGGTAAGCCCAAAGTGAAGAGACAAAAACAAAGACACAAAAGTAATCTCATAGCTATAGCTACAGCAAATATTAAACATAGCCCAACATCTAATTAAATTAATGTAAATCTTCACACTAACGTCCTATTTATCTCAATTCTTCTTACCCACCACAACATGCTTGGATTTCAGCAATAAATGAAAAGGCATGATAAAAGACAGAAATGAGAGAGAGAGAGAGAGAGAGAGAGAGCGCGAGAGAGGGAGAGCGAGAGAGACTATATATATATATAGTCTAAAGAGAAAAAGAAATCATCAGAACCAGATGCAGATGTGACACAGATGTTGGAATTCTCAGACAGGGAATTTAAAATAACACCGATTAATATTTTAAAGATGCTCATGGAAAAAGTAGATAACATGCAAGAACAGATGGATAATGTAAGCAGAGAAATAAAAATGCTAAGAAAAAATCAAAAGGAAATGCTAGAGATCAAAAACACCATAACAGAAATGAGCCGTATTTCGGCTCATGTGTAGATGGGCATGGCTGTGGAAAGAATCAGTGAATTTTGCAATAGGTCAGCAGAAGCTTCTCAAACTGAAATGCAAAGAGGAAAAAGAACGGGAAAAAAGAGAACAGAACATCTAAGAACACAGCCAATATCAGAAGGTATAACATACACATAATTGGAATACCTAAAGGAGAAAAAAGAGAAAATGGAACAGAATAATTATTTGGAGTAATAATAGTTGAGAATGTTTCAAAATTAATCACAAACATCAAACCACAGATACAGATCTGGGAAGCTCGAAGAACACCAGGCAGGGTAAGTTCCAAGAAAAACCACAGGTAAGCATGCCATCCTTGAAAGACTCACCCAGCCCGCACCTGGTCAGTGAAGAGGGGGAGGAAATTGAGCCGTCTGGAAGTACTTGAAGGTTTTCACATGTTTGACACCTCAATTCCTCCCTCTTTTTCACCTTCCACTTCAAGTTTCTCAGAAAATTCCACCAGTTCTCTCAGAAATATCTCTCAAATCCAACATCTCCTTTATCTTTCTTTTGCCACTGCCTGCGCCTGGGACCTCATCTCTGTTACTTGGGACTAACATGACAACCTCGTTATCTGTAACCAGGTGCTTCCCTACACGTGGAGGCCACAGATTTTGTCCAAAACACTCAGCTTGCTGTTTGGTAGCGGCAAACCAATACCTAAAATTCTTCTGAAAACTTGGCTACAAATGAATTTGTTAGATTCATTTCCGCTACCTACCTCAATGCACCCAAAATGAACTCAGTTCTTTTCTTTCTGGCCTTGGTACACACTATTCCCTATTCTTAGAACATGTCACCCCATTCTTTACGTTAGTCCTTAATCATCTTTTAAGATCTAGTTCAAATACCACCTTCTCAGTGAGGCTTTCCCATATCTTCAGAGTTAAATCAGTTGCTCTGTAATACACCTGAACTATATGTTATTAATACCTGTTGAAGCAGTTACCATGTTATACTAACATTACAATTTATTTTCTGACATGTTGATGTGTTGGCCCTGGGATGAAAGCTCCACAAGGGCAGAGGCATAGCACATAAACCTGTAGTAGCCACTACATAAACCTATTAAAATGAAGTAAAGTAAAGTAAAGATGAGATAATTTTTGGAAAGATATTGACAGTCAAGGACATTGCTAGTGAAAATAAAGAAGGAAATTTTCTGAATATAAAGAAAACCAACTGACAGAAGGTTCTGGGCATTTGATTTAACAATTAATTTGGAAACAAGAAGCTGTTGCTGTATTGCCCAGGAAGGCAGGTGGCCCTGGCATTTTGTATTTCACTTTTATAAGAAAAGTAGGTTTCTAATGTGCAACGTCACAGAGATTTCTTCAGTAAAGCAAAATCTTGTCACGCTGCTGGGGGTGTGTTCCTTCTTCCTGGGCTTTACATCATCCGCCCTGTCATAACAGGGAAAGCTCCATGCACTATGCAATGCCCAATATTCCAACTTTTGATAGCCACAAGTCAGCAAAAAACCCTGTCAATAAATATTAAAATAATCATTCTTAATAATATTCCCATCAATATCTCTTAATTTTTAAAATAATTTTGGTAATTAGGAAGTTAATTTATTTTTAAATGTTCTTATCCATTTCATTCTGTTTTGACACAAACTAACGGATCATTCATTTTATTTAAATTACCAGGCATAGACTAGGGCACCATCAGCTCAGTGCTTGGGCAGCCCTATCTATGTGACATCCCTGCCTTGTGACCAGAACAAGTCATTTGGGAACAGGAAATTTTGCTATTTACTAATAATCTACAAATGCTATGCCATCTCACTTTTAGAGTAAGCCTTTAAGGTAAGAGTTCCTTAGCAAAGGTGTGATCAGGCAAAGTCCCAGCCTTGGCCTGATTCAGCAGGAGAGCCCTGCAAGGGGGTGAGGCTTTATACCCCAGCCCCATCCTATGTCCCCCTCACTGGCCATTGGCAGTGAGCTGCCCCTGGGGAGTGGGATGAGAGGAAATGTATGCTCCCAGGCACTTCGGGCTCTCTGGCATGGGGGATATTGGGTTCAGAAGCCTGGGAACAGTTCTCCAAAGAGATCCACAGGTGCCAACCATTAGAAGCCAAGGCACACAGAAGCTTAGGGGGTGGGTGCAAATATACGGTAAAAGGGATCCCAGAGGATTTGGGTGAAACATTAATGGTATCTGCTACCAAGAGACTAAGTGTTTTTCCCAGGCAAACTTGAGATTAAATATAGATCTTTAAACTTGAAATATCACTACTGAGTCTTCCATTGTCCAGAAACTTCACTTTTTCAGAACATTCCTGTTATTCTACTAACTAAGGCAGATACTTTGAGACCTAATTGCCACTCACTCTGCACAGACCCTGTTACAAAGCTATACAAAGTCACCTAATAAAACCCAAAGGATATAATAACATACCCTGCCAACATGATTGCTAAATGAATGACAGGTAACACACCTTGTCACATCACTGGGGATGACTGCAGCTTCCCTCACATGACACAAGATGGCACAGAAAAGGGAGAGATTGATGCCTATTGAAAGAATGACTCTAATAAAATATCTAAAGTACAATGAATTCACAGGAAATGAAACTTCATTAGCTCAGATGCCTCCATATGGAACTACTTGTTGGGTCAAGAGCTTTCCAGAAAACCATATGAAACCCTGGGAAATGTCTGTTTTGGATGCAAGAAATCTCAAGGGATTTTATAGATTCAAATCTTTGTTATGGAAAAAGAAACTTTGAGCTTCGCCTGGGAAGTCTGAGTTCTGGGAGACATGCCAAACTCAAAGCTGACGTGATTTGCAATAACCTAGTTAATCAACCATAAAAATCAAGGCTTCATCATTTTTTTTAGAGATAATCACACACTATAATTTTGAACAGTAAGAGTTATTGTGAGAAAACCATGTGCTTTAGCAAGGGTATTTGTTTGTTTAAAAGACTTTTAAATGTAAGAATCTCAGCCAAGAACTTTCCTTTTATATAAATATCCAATATACTGATGTTTTCAAATTCCATTTGCCCATATTTGTAAAAGATAAAGTGATTTCAAAGAACTTTCATGATTTCACCTTGGCTTTTTAAATAAAAGAAATTGACTTTGACAAAAGTCAGAAATTCATTTATCCCTTATGTGTCTTGTAAAGCTGAATTTTTACATACACAAATTAGAATTTTGAAACTCAAACAAAGGCAGGCTCATTTTTACTAGCATGAGTCTGTCTGAAATTTTATTTCTTCTAAATAATCAAAATTTTGACTTCTTTTTTAAAAAAACAGACTATCAGAGCTTGTAAGCTGAAATTGTATAAAGGGCTCAGCAAAGCAGTTTTGAGGGTCTGGTAGAAAAAGAGGGTGAAATTGAAGAGAGAAGCAGATCCGAAATGTCCATCTCAGGAGAAATGGTGAGGAAAGTAGAAAGTAAAGTTGAGCTTTGGGTTTTCTCTGTCTTCCACTTCTGGCCCCTCTTTTTTGAAATACCAGATTCTTTGAAGCTGCTCAGGATTCTGCAACGGGTCTCATCCAGATATGCTCAGCAGAATAACCTATAGAGCTTAAAAAGATAAATTCAAGCTCTTGAGACTTCAGGTTTCCCTGGAGATCCCTGAGATACTAACAGAGGCCTACAAGGTCAAAGCTCTTTTCATAATAATACTAAGATGCTATTTGCCTTTTTCACTCTTGTTTTCCTTTAAGTGTAAAGTTTTCCAGACTCTATATAATGTGTAACATCATAACAGATTAAAATGCAAAAGAAGATAAGAGAACCTAGCTATCTTTTCTTGTCAATTAAAGACATTTGCAAAGATGTAACACAATGCCACTCTTCTCACTTTTATTTTTCTTTAAAATATAATTATTGACCATAAAAATGTCAACATAATATATAATAGGTTTATTATATTTTAAATGAATACAAATTCTTAAAATGTCTCAGTTTTACTTTATAATATGGTGAATATTAATAGATAGAATCTACATAACAAATAGAACTCCGGGACCTTCAATAATTTTTAAGAGTATTAAAATGGTCCTGAGACTAAAAAGTTTGAGAACTGCTAGTGTGATAGAATGACTCTTGTAATAAAAAAAAAAACACTAACATATTTTATAAAACGTAAACCACATTTTTAGATGCAGTATGAGCTAACATAGTAATAGGTGATTTGCAGGGCTCAAAAACACAGCAAAATCAGGCATTCTAGGAGGCAGGCAAGTACCAAAGCCAGTTATGCACTAAAGATACCTGCTTAGTCCTAGAAACCTTGGGCTTCTGCTGTGACAGATATGCAAGGGCTGAAGCTAAGGACCTCTTGATGGGAAGTCTAATAGAACTTGTCTTGTAAAGATGGAACCCCAGTGATTCGTGTCCTCAGAATTGGGACGAGCAAGAATAAATCTATTACTAGGCATGGGCTAGTCAAGAAATCTTTCTTAACTTTGGTGCTGAATGGAGGGGAAGAAACAACAACTCTGTTGATAATTCATAATCATAAAGGGCTCTTATGATGCATAGCAGTCCAAATTTATCTCCACCTGTGCAGTCTGTAAAAGCTCACATGGAAAATTTAATTTAAATGTCTTTAGATGGTGATGGTGGACAACTGACCAAACAAATTCTCACTCAAGGATACAATTTATATTTATATATTTTATTTTATTTTATTTATTTTTTATTTCAGCATGTTATGGGGGTACAAATGTTTAAGTTACATATATTGCCTTTGCCCCACCCGAGTCAGAGCTTCAAGCATGTCCATCCCCCAGACAGTGCACACCACACCCACCAGGTGTGAATATACCCACCCCCTCCTCCCCACTCCCACCTGCCCAACACCCAGTGAATGTTATTACTAGGTGTGCACTTAAGTGTTGGTCAGTTAATACCAATTTGCTGGTGAGTACACGTGGTGCTTGTTTTTCCATCCTTGTGATACGTCATTTAGTAGAATGGGATACAATTTTAACGTAATTTCTTATAATGTATAAACAACCATCAGGCAGATGTGAAAACAATTATATAGATGTTATGGAAATAAAAAATATAATCCGAAATGCAAACTATGGCTTTCCTGTAAGCTGTATAGCTGTAACCATGAATATTTTCTCATCTTCCTCTGGCTACAGGCCAAAGTAAGTCAGTGAAGTCACCAACCCCACTTCTGCCAGCTGATGCAGAAAGGGATCAAAGGTGAACTGATGACCCGCAACCCTTTGACAGTCACTCCTGGGCTACGAGAGCACTTCGGTCTATGGAAGGGCAGACACGAGACGTGAGAGAATGGACACTGCCAATGTGCACACGCCTGAGAAAGGTCCTGAATGAGGAGGGAGAGAATTCTGCATTGGTCACTCAGCAGATTCCACAGACCTACTGAGAATAGAGACTGCCACATGCATCCCCAGGTGCCACGGCTTGTACCTGGAGGGGAAAGGGACAGGAGTCCAGAACAAGTAGATTCTTGTGGGACGCGTGTATAAGGAGTGGCTACAGGCCAACAAGGAGCTCATCAAAATTCAGTCCAAACAGGAAGCAACTAAGGCGAAATCAACAGTCTCCCCTTTCTCTCCACACAGAGGCCTCATCAGTAACAGATCACACCATATACTAGACTATCAGAATTAGCAAGCACTCAATGGACTGACTAAACAACAGACTAGACACAGTTGAAGAGGCATTTCATGAAATAGAAAACAGATCAGAAGATACTATCCAGATGCAGTACAAAGAAAAAAATATTAGAAAGTACAAGAAAGATTAAGGGATGTGGAGGGTGAAGTGAAAACATCTATTGTATTCCCAATTAGAGTTCCAGGAGGAAATAAGAGAAATTATAAAGAAGAGCAAATATTTGAAGAAAAAACAGATGAAAAATTTTTTTAATTATTGAAGCATATTAACCTTCAGATCCAAGAAACCCCAACACACAGTTAGAAACATCATCCCCAAATTATAGAATACAGAAAAAAAGAAAAAAGAATTAAAAGCAAGCATAGACAACAAACTAATGACAAAAAATAATTTATAGCAGTCACAAAGAACAAATACTACATGATTCCACTTATATGTGGAATCTAAAATAATCAAATTCACCGAAGCAAAAAGCAGAATGGTGGTTTCCAGGAAGTAAGGGAGGAGGAGAAAAGGAGAGTTGCTGTTCAAGGATATAAAGTTTCCGTATGCAAGGTGAATTTATTCTGGAGATCTGCTGGTCAGCACTGTGGCAACAATATTAGTTAATAAAATTGTATTGTACAGTTAAAAATCTGTTAAGAGGGTAAATTTCATGTTAAGTGTTCTTATCACAATAAAACTAAAATTAAAATTAAAAATGAAGGCCTGGTGCAGTGGCTCATATCTATAATCCCAGCACTTTGGGATGTGAGTCAGGAGGATTGCTTGAAGCCAGGAGTTCGAGGTTGTAGTGAGCTGTGATGACACCACTGCATTCTAGCCTGGGTGACAAAGCGAGACCCTGTCCCTAAAAAATAAATAAATAAATAAACACAATGAAAAATGTATATTGAAAGATGATTTCTCAACAGCAACAATGGAAGTTAGAAAGAAATAGAATATTTTCATCAATTTTGAGAGATATTAACTTTCAAACTATAATTTTATATTCAGCAAAAGTTTTTTATAAGAGCAAAGGCAAAATCAACATATTTTCAAACAACCAAAACCTAGGAGAGTTTACCACTAATAGATGCTCACTAAAGAAAATTCTAAAGGAGGTATTTCAAACAAAAGAAAATGTGCCCAAAGGGAAGGTCTGATATGCAAGAAGGAATGATAAGCAAAGATATTAGTAAATGTATAGGAAATTCAAGTGCTTATTGATCATAAAAGAATAATATCAAATTTGTGGAGTTTAAAAGGCAAAGTAGGACAACAGACAAAATAGTATAGAGCTTTAGAGGAGATAATCAGGTTTAAATTATTTGGAGAGAATAAAGATATTAATTTTTTTCTTAAGAAATTGCTAAATATGTGTGTTAATACTAGCTGGAATAATGACCAAATACTTGACATAAAGCATATAATTTGCAAACCAATGCTGATTTAAAAAATGTAAAGAGAAAATCTCAATCAAGAATAAGGCAAATAAAGGTTGAGAGTGGGGAAGAGGAGAACAAAACAGAACAGAATGCACATAATAGGAAATAAATCTAAATGTATGAGAAGCTCAATAAACAGTATGATTAAACTATTGAGTTAAAAGATGAAAGTTGAGACTCAGACTTGTGGGGGGAGGGAGGGAAATGGGCATTTATTGAAACCTTAAAATCTGTACCCCCATAATATGCCGAAATAAAAAATAAATAAATAAATAAATAAATAAAAGATGAAAGTTATTCAGATAATTTTTTTCCATGTTGTTTATAAGACTAAAAGAGGATTGGCAGACCACAGTCCCTGGGCCAGGTCAGACACCTGCCTATTACGTATGGTTCTTTGGCTAAGAATGGTCTTTATGGTTTTAAATGGTTGGAAAAAAAGAATATGTGACAGAAACCACATGTGACCCACAAAAGCTAAAATATTTAGTATCTGACTCCTTAGAGAAAAAGTCTGCTGACTTCTGCTTTAAAATATAAAATTATAAGATCCAGAGTATGGATAGATTGGAAACAGACATATTAATTTTAGAATAGACTATCATTGTCCCTCAATATCCAAATATTAACTAGACACATGCACATCTTGCTAAATACCACTTTTGTTAACCTCCCTTGTAGTTAGGTATAGCCAACAAGAAGTGAACTGAATTGACATACAATTCCAGGTCAGGTCTTTAAAATAAATACATATGCCTCCTGCTCCACTTTCCCTCCCCATCTCACAGAAGAGAGGAGAGGGGTTGGGGTTGGGGGGAGCCATTGTTGACCATGGAATGAGCCTCCTCCTCACTAAGAGGCTGGCAAAGCATTAAGACAGAAGGCACCCAGGTCCCCACTGTTGTGGAAACCAAGGTATCCCATAATCCCTGTACTGACCACCTCCAGGTCATTACAGAGTAAGGAGAAATAGTCTTCTCTCTCATTTAAGCCATTCTTGGTGGGAATCTATGTTACTGTAATTTAGCCTGTACCCTAACCAATAATCAAATACTAAGTAAAGTAAAGCTAGGTGGCTATAAGAATAACAGACAAAAGGGAAAATGGATCAAAAGGGTCATAATGATATATGGCTCATTTTGCTAGGAGACAAAACAAATTTGTGTATACTGCAGTTCTACACTTACATATCTTCACAGAACTACAAGAAATGGACATATCCATCATCCTAGTGGAATGCTTAATAATTCTCTTTCAGTAATCAATAGATAAACCAGACAATAAAATTAGCAATAAAAGATATAGAAAGGAAAAATAATATGCTTTATCCAGTGGGTATTTAGAGAATACTACATCCAACAATTAAAGAATTTAATTTAGAAAAGGCACAAATACTGCAGTTTTGAATTGACCACATTCTAATCAAGAAGCTAGCTTAAACACATTTCAAAAAACAGTAAGATACAGACTGTATTCTCAGGCCACAATGCAAATTATTTTGTCATCAAATAAATAGGACAAAAAACATGTTTAGAAATTTTTTAAAATTCCAAACAACTTAGAGATCAAAGAAGAAAAGAATAATTCAAATTATAAAATATTTATAAATGAGCAGTAACTAAAATATATGTAACAAGACTTTTGGAATGTAGTAAAAGCATTACTTAGTGCCAAATGCATAGCCTTGTTAAAAGATAAGGTTCATTAAAAGGTAAAACCATGATTCTTATACAGATATAAAACTGTACATGTGTTAGAGATTTTATTCTATTCTTTAATAATAATGAAACCAAGAATATGTAAGAACTGTTGAAAACAGAATCCAAAGAACAAATAGACTTATAGATTAAAAATATTCAAAAGAATATGTAAATGGAGGTAAAACTTATTTTTCCACAGGGGAGGAGGGAAGTAAGTTGAAACTCCAGTCCCAGACAGTTTCGCTGGTAAATTCTAGCAAACATTTTTAAAAAATACAATTCTATACAATCTCTTCCAGAACGCAGAAGAGAAGGAAAGATTTCTCAATTCATTTTACGAGGCCAATATTACCCTAATATCAAATGTTTCAAAGATATTTTAAGAAAAGAAAACTATAGACTAATATCCTTCAGGAACATATACACACAAAAAAAAATCTCAATGAAATATTAACCAATCAATCCATCAATATATAAAAATGAAAATATATAATGGCCAAGTGGGGTTTATCCTAGGAAAGCAAGGCTGGATTAACATTCAAAAATCTGTCAATGTATTTGCGAACTCCTGGAAATCTATAATTATTTCAAAACAAAAATTTAAGGTAAGTTTTAAAATAAAATAAAAATAAGCAGAAAAAAATTAATGTCAATGCAGAAAAACATGGGACAAAATTCAATAATCCTTAGGGAACTTTCTACATTTGACAAAGGGCATGTCCTGATAAAGGTCATCATATTTGATTATGTGAAACTACGTGCTTCCCCCACATTCTAGAACAAGGCAAAGATGTCTTCTCTTGTCACTCCTACTCAACATTTTACTGGAAGTCCTAGCCATTGCAATACAGCATGAAAACAAAAGCTGTACACATCAGAAAAGAATAAAATTGCCTCCATTTATAGACAATAGTATTGTCTGTATAGAAAATCTAAAAAAATACATACACACAAATATTTCCTAGAACTAATAAATGAATTTAGAATTTTTTTTTTTTTTATAGCCTACGGCACCCGGTATTCCCAGGCGGTCTCCCTGAATTTAGAATTTTTATAGAATGTCTACATACAAATATCAACTATATTTCTTTATACTATCAATAAACAATTAGAATTCAAAAAATTTAAAAGTAACATAATTTATTTTTTTTAAAAGTAATATAACTTATAATAGCATCAAAGAATTAAATACTTGAGTATAACTAACATAGGCATGATTTTTATGCTAAAAAGTACATACAAATGATAATGGTGAAAGAAATCAAAGACCCAAATAATGGAGATATATCACTTTCATGGTTTGGAGCATTAAATATTATTATTAAGATGTTTTGTCACTCAGGGTTCAATCAGAGAAGCAAAATCAGTAGGAGGTAGATTAGATAGATAAACAGACAGACAAACAGACAAAAGAGAAAGATGAATAACAAGTACGTGGCTTATGTCTGAACTCCATAGGTCTGCAGTCAAGACAGGGAGATGCCTGGCAAGCTAGAGCTCTCGGCATGGGCCAAGGCTGTTATCCACAGGCCACAGCAAAGAAGGCAACGAGTAGGGTGGGACTCCACAGACGCCCTACCAAATTTCTCCTTTCTTTTGGAGCTGTCTCAGCCCTACTATTAAAGCCTTTCAGTTTATTGAATCAGATCTACCTGGATTATCCAGGAGAATCTTCTCCAACTTAAAGTCAGCTGATTACATCTTCAGGTAACTATTTTAGGCTTTAATTACATCTGCAAAATACCTTCACAGCAACACCTGGATTAGTGTTCGGGTGAATAATTGGTGACTGTACCCTCCTTGCCAAGCTGACGCGTGAGAAGAGACATCACTGATGTTAATTCTCTCAAATTTGATCCATAATTCAAAATCCCAGCATGGCTTTTATGTAACTATTGAGAAGCTGATTGTAAAATGTATATGGAAAGGCAAATAA